GTTCTCAGTGGATGATGTTTCATAAGTAGATTCCACTCATGGTGTCCCATGTGTGTCACAGTAGAACTGTGCTCACAGGGTTCTCAGTGGATGATTTTTCATAAGTAGATCCCACTCATGGTTCCCTGTGTGTGTCAGAGTAGAACTGTGCTCCACAGGGTTCTCAGTGGATGATTTTTCATAAGTAGATTCCACTCATGGTGCCCCCGTGTGTGTCAGAGTAGAACTGTGCTCCACAGGGATCTCAGTGGATGATGTTTCATAAGTAGATTCCACTCATGGTGCCCCCCCATGTGTGTCAGAGTAGAACTGTGCCCCACAGGATTCTCAGTGGATGATGTTGCATAAGTAGATCCCACTCATGGTGTCCCCCGTGTGTGTCAGAGTAGAACTGTGCCCCACAGGATTCTCAGTGGATGATTTTTCATCTGTAGATTCCACTCATGGTGCCCTGTGTGTGTCAGAGTAGAACTGTGCTCACAGGGTTCTCAGTGGATGAGTTTTCATAAGTAGATTCCACTCATGGCGCCCCCATGTGTGTCAGAGTAGAACTGTCTCCACAGGCCTTTCAGTGGCTGACTGACTGGAACAAAATCTTTTACAGAGTTGGGACAGGGGAGGCACTTTGGGCATTCTCTAGGAAACTCAGGTGGACAGTTGATTCTTGTAAGCCCGCTAGTCCACCAGCAGGTGTCCCACTTCCCTTTGTGGGGGCTTCTGGCCCAAAGACCCAGTGGTTCCATTCATTCAGGGTTCCCCTTTCTCCTACTCACTTCTTCTGGTGCTGGCCTTGTTGTTCAGTGCTGTGGAGAGATTCTGACTGTGGGACCCCATGTGTATCGGTGGAACTGCGCTCCACAGGGTTCATCAGTGGCTGGTTTTTTGGAAGTACAGTCAATCCCTGCATTACCCTTCAGTGTACATTTGCCCTCACTTTGAAACAATTGAGACAACACCTACTCACAGCAAATTCTGCAACACAATCTTGATCACAATCACCTTCACTTGCTGCAAGTACACCTTGTAAACCATTGAAAAGGCTTCGAGCCTCTTTCTTACCCTCAAGCAGGGAACGCTGGTGGCACCTACCAGGTGTGATGAGTACTGCTGGGCTGCTGACCGTAGGCAGGTGGTTCAGATCCAGCAGCTACACCACGGAAACCCTAAGCAGGCTCATTATGAGTTGGAACTGACTGGATGGTACTTCACAACAAACAAGGAAGGCTAAGTGAGAACCATATCATATCCTGAGCCTTACCTAAAGTTGGGTGTAAGACAGCCTGGGGACTGCCAGGTGCCTCTGGGTGGACTTGAACTTCTGACTTCTCAGGAGTCAAGACAATGCTAACCATTTGCACCACACAGGAACTCCAAATTGTAGATAAAGGTCAGTAACTTCCAATTTTTTAATTTGTATATGCATTTATATACTATAAATTGTCCTCTAAAACTAACTTTATCCTCACTGCACAAATACTGATATGTAAATATTTGTCGTGACTATGTTAACTAGATCTTCTAATCTTTTTTTTTTAATTTTGTAACAACCATGACTCATGTAGACTTAAATTCAAAACACATGGGTTGGTTTTTTATTTGTTTGTTTGTTTTTTAATTTCACTGTTTTATATCAAATTTGATTGGATGAGAGCATTTGATTTCAGTCTTGTGAAATATGCAGGCTTATTTCATGGCCTAAAACTCTGTCATTGCTTATAAATGTTACCCATGTCCTTAGGGGAAAGTACTTCCTCAGCTGAAGGAAGAAGTCCAAGGTGCATTGAAGGCATTGGCAAAAAACAAGGCTCCAGGATTGATGGAATGCAAGTTGAAATCTTTTAACAAACTGATGCAGCGCCGGAGGCACTCACTCATCTCTGCCAAGAAATTTGGAAGACAACTAACTACCTGGCCACCTGACTGGAAGAGATCCATGTTTGTACCCATTCCAAAGAGGTGACCCAACAGAATGTGGACATCATCAGATGATATCATTAATATCAAATGCAAGTAAAATTTTGCTGAAGGTAATACAAAAACAGCTGCAACCATACATTGACAAAGAACTTCCAGAGGTTCAAGCTGGATTCAGAAGAGGACGTGGAACAAAGACTATCATTGCTGACATCAGATGGATCTTGGCTGAAAGCAGAGAATACCAGAGAGATGTTTACCTGTGCTTTCGATTGTGTGGCTCATGATAAGCTTTGGGTAACATTGTGGAGAATAAATATCCTGGAACACTTAATTGTGCTTATGAGGAACTTGTACATAGACCAAGAGGCAATTGTTCCAACAGAATCAGGGAACCCTGGATGATTTAAAATTAGGAAAGGTGTACACCAGAGTTGCATTTGTTCACCGTACTTATTCAATTTGTATACCAAGCGCATTATCAGAGAAGCTGGATTATATGAAGAAAAACGTGACATCAGGATTGGAGGAAGATTCTTTAACAACCTGCAATGTGCAGATGATACAACCTTGCTTGCTGTAAGCAAGGAGAACTTAAGATGCTTAGTGATGAAGATTAAAGACCTCAGCCTTCAGTATGGGTTGCACCTCAATGTAAAGAAAACAAAAATCTTCACCACTGGACCATTAAGCAACATCCATATAAATGGAGAAAAGATTGAAGTTGTCAAAGACTTCATTTTGCTTGGATCAACCATAAACACTCACGGAAGCAGCAGTAAAGAAATCAAACACCGTATTGTGTTAGGCATCTACTGCTCAAGAATTCTTTAAAGTGTGAAGAACAAAGATTACCCAGGCCATGGTATTTTCAATAACCTCATATGGATGTGGAAATTGGACAGTGAATAAGGAAGATCAGAGAAGAATTGATGCCTTTGAGTTATGGTCTTGAAGGAGAATATTGAAAGTACCATGGGCTGCCAAAGATCAAACAGATGTATGTTGAAAGACGTACAGCCAGAATGTTCCTTGGAGGCCAGGATGGCCAGACTTTGTCTTTCATACTTTGGACTTCTCATCAGAAGGGACCAGTCACTGGAGAAGGACATCATGTTTGGTAATGTGGACGATCAGTGGAAAACAGGAAGACCCCAGCGCAATGGATTGGCACAGTGGCTGCAGCAATGATTGTGAGGTTGACCCAGGACCGGGTAGTACTTCGTTCTGTTTTACACAGGGTCACTATGAGTCGGTACCGACTCGATGGCACCTAACAACAACACTGCCTCGGCTCAGCGCCATGTTCTGTTGGTTGTGTTGTTTAAATCTCCCCCATTTCTGTAAGATACAGAGTGTGTTGGTCCCTGTTGTGCTGATGATGGTCCTCCTCCTGGCTCTGCCTGTTTGCTGTTGGGCTTCTCTCTGCTTTGAAAACAGTCGCGGGAGGTTACAGTTGTGACTTTACTGGTTGGTGTCCACTCAGGTTCCCTGGGGGCCGTGGGCAGTGTGATTGGCCTTTCCCATGACCTGGCCCGCCTGGTAGGAAGGCAGGTGCATTGGGCCCTGTGCAGCCACGCACCCTGCTGACTGGAGCGTCTCTCTCCTCAGGGATGTTGGAGTATGAGCCGGCCCAGAGGCTGTCCATCCAGCAGATCCGGCAGCACAGGTGAGCAGGCAGGTGGGCCTGAGATGCAGGAGGTGCCGCCGCCTCAGGCCGATATTCCAAGCTGGCTCCGTGCCGCTTGGTCAGGTCTGCATCTCAGGTAGTCTGGGTGGAGTGGGTCCTCATCCCCCCATTATGAGGCGAGCCTGTCAGCCGGGCCTTCCTCTAGGAGGCAGTCCGCAGGTTCCACACCACCTGCGTCCCATCTGGGGCGATGCTAGGGACCCGGGGCTGGGAGGCCTGCGGCCGTCCCAACAGCGGTGGTCAGCAGCTGCCCCTTGAGTGGAGTCCTGACGGTGCCCCCTACTGCCCTTGCAGCTGGTTCCAGAAGAAGCACCCACCGGCTGAGGCGCTGGTACCCATCCCGCCCAGTCCGGACACCAAGGACCGGTGGCGCAGCATGACAGTCGTGCCCTACCTCGAGGACCTGCACGGCTGCACCGCCGATGCCGACGACGAGGGCCTCTTCGACATCGAGGACGGCATCATCTACACTCAGGACTTCACAGTGCCCGGTGAGTCCCGGCACGGGGCTGCCCCCAGGATGCCACCCAGCCCAGCCCTGGTCCTGCCTGGGCCAGGGCCTGTGTGAGGACCCCCTGTACAGGCGGCACCTGGGATGGGGTGGCGGGCAAGGGGCACCTAGACAGTGGGCCCCCCACCCCGGCTGTCCTGACACCCTACCGCCTTCTCCTCCAGGTGACGAGGTGGAGACTGAGGCAGGGCTTAGAGAGGAGACGGGCTCACAGCGCAGCGAGGGCTCCGGCCCTTCAAGACAGAACTCTCAGGCAGCCATAGTCTCAAGGACATGCTCCGTGCCTTAGTCTAGCAGAAACAGTGCCACCTGTGGTCCTGCCCAGAGGTGGCCTTCCCTGTTGGGCACAGCCCCTGCCCGGAGCATTTACGGTTTGGCTCTGTGGGGGGGGCTCTTCTCAGGTTCAGCGTCATAAAAGACTTGTCCTGTGGCTGCCAACGCTGTGTGAGGTGACACTGCCGTCCCGCCTGGCCCCTCCCACACTGATGCTCCCTCCCCTCCCCGTTGGCCCAGGGAGGTTGTTTAAAGGCAGACCTGGGGCCCAAGGCTGTAGGCACCCCAGGTGTAGGCAGAGGAGAGGCCCCACTGTGGCTTTGAGGGGCCCCTCAGAACCTGACTCACTCACTCGGCCACAGGCCTTGGGGACAGGGACCTAGCATGGTAGCCAGAGGGTTACTGCAGGACTTGGGGGACCCAGGAGCCAGTCTCCGAAGCTTGAGGGAAATGAAACAAGCCAGGTGTTGAGCTGACACTGACTCTTGGCGTCCCCTTGTGTGTCAGAGTAGAAGGTGCTCTCCAGGGGTTCCCTGTCCAGGGGTCCCAGAAGAAGGGCAGAGCCTTCCCTTGAGGCTCCTCTGGATAGACTGGAATCTGGAGCCGGTTGATCAGCAGGCCAGCGGGTGTCCCGTAGTCTTCGATCTGGGATTCCTGTACCCCCCTGCACTTGGGTAACCCCCAACACTCACAGCAGCAGACTGCCTTTCCTTGGGCGTGCACTGCCCTGTGAACAGATACCCCCTGGAGCCCAGACTCTGCTGGCTGGCCTTCCTGACTTCACAGCAGGAGCCCTGGTTCTGAGGGCCAAGGCTTGACCCCAGTGTCCCCTCATAGACAATCTAGCTGGTCGAGGACTGGGGATTTTGCCCACACCTTGGGGACAGCAGGCTTTGCAATCCCCTTGAAGCTGATTAAGGGCAGGGCCAGGATGGGGCGCTGACCCTGAGGCCCAGTCCTCGTGGAATCTCTACTCCTTAATCAACTGCAGGCCTCTGGGCGTGACCTAGGCAGCTGGGGACCCCTCAGGCAGGGGGACCAGCCTCAGTTTGCTCCAAGGAGGGGCAGCTGGCTGTGCCCTGCTGGCTTCCCTGGCCCCACGTGGAGGACCAGATACCAGGGAGCCGTGGTACAGAGACAGTTGTCCTTATCTTATGGGCAGGTCTACGGGGTGGGGGGTGGTGGCGGTGGGTGCACATCTCTCTCTCCGGATCCCCAGCAAACCCGCCTTGAGTTGAGTACAGAGGCCCATTGCTGACCCGTCTCTTCCCACCCCACTCCCCAGCCCCATCCTGTACCTAACTCCGTGAGGTGACCTACCTGCTGTCCTCACGGGGCTTGGGGTGAGACAAGCAGCTCTGCAGGGACAAGGTGCAAGGCTACCAATCACTGAGTGGGGTGGCTGAGAGCAAGCACCGTGACTCAGGCCGGAACCCATGTCATCGAGGGGGCTGCACCCAGTCAGTTCCCACACGTGTGCCTCGCAGAGCCAAAAATAAAGGCTAGCAGCACCTCATTACCGAGGCGTCCTTTCACACAGCTATTTCCTGTGCGTAAGTGTGTGCGTGAGTGCCGGGAGCCGCTGAGTCAGGCGCCTGGACGCCCCCTACAGAAACTGCTCTGTTTTGGATGGTTCCCACGTGTGCCAGAACCAGCTTGGGAGCATTGCTCCAGCGCCTTTCTCAGTTCTGGGCTCTACTCTCCAAGCTGGGGATTGTTGTCACTAATTGACCTCGTTCCCTACATGGCTGCTCCCCCCATAGGAAAGCCGGGACCTTTCCCTGCTCCTCTTGCAGGCAGGGAGGGCAGCTTTCGTGGAGTCTGTGGGCTGCTGAGGTGGGAGGTGTATGGCTCTGGCTCCCACTGGGACCCTTTGCTTGTGGGGCAGCTGATTTCCCAGTGTGGTGAGCAGATAAGGCTTAGGAGGCCGGCTGAGGGGCACACATGTGACAGGGAAGGCCCTGCTCACCGCCCCACTTTGCTGTCTCCCTCCCAGGACAGGTCCTGGAGGAGGAGGCCACTCAGAACGGACAGAGCCGGGGCCTGCCCAAGGTCGTGTGCATGAATGGCACCGAGGCCACCCAGCCAGGCCCCAAAACGAAGGCAGAGCGCAGGGCCAGCGCCTCCTCCAACCCTGCCCGCCGCGCCTGCTCTGCCAGCAGCAAGATCCGCCGGCTGTCAGCCTGCAAGCAGCAGTGAAGACTCAGCCTGCAGGTAGGACCTGTGGGACCTGTCCTCCCTCACTGCCCCATCACAACAGGGTCGGGGATGAGTGGGCCGTGCTATTGAAGGTTCCCCCCCTCCTACACTACTGTCTCAGGGTGGACGGAGGATGGCTCTGTGGGCTGCCTGCTGGGGTCCACCCTAGGCTGATTCTAGGCTTCCACCTAGCCCAGTCCAGGGCACTCATGGGTCCCAGGTGCTGGGCCCTGTCACCTGCTCAGGATGTGGGCTGGGAGCCAGCTGCGTCCTGCTCTGGCTCCCCACTGTGCACACACACAGGTGCCCACAGCGCTTACCTGCCAGGGTTAGAACCAACTGGCAGGGCTGAAAGCTGCTTTGGAGGAGGGTCCGTTCTCAGCGCTCCATCCCCCATCATTTGCTAGTGGGAAGGTCAGCTCACTCACTTTGGGCATGGGGGGGCGGTGTAGCAGCTCCTGTGTGGCCCCACATTCTGCTGGAGGTTTGTAGCGGCCTCTGGCTCCAGGTATTAGGCTCATCCTTGGGCAGCCCAGAAGTGACTCCCCTCTGTCCTCCCTTCCACAGCCTGTCTCCAGGGTCCCCAGCTTGGTGCCACATCCCAGGCCCTCCTCAGTCTTCCTGCCGCCTCCTGGCCTGCCACCCGCCTGCTGGGAAGGACACCACCACGCCCTCCACTGTGGCCACCACTCTGGAGGAGCAGAGCAGGGGGACAGTAGGGACTGCGGCCCAGCCCTCTCCTGGACCACCTGTGCACAGAACCTCGCCAATGGATAGGACTTGTTGACTTTTGCGGCCCTCCCCAGGCGAGGGGAGGAGGGACAGGGCCCAGGCCAGAGGTATCGGCCATGGGCGAAGCCATCGCCATGCACTTTATGTTTAGACTACTGGTGTCTCTGCCCCACCCCAAGTTTTGTTTTGACTCTGCTACATTAGAGCCTCCCACAGCTAGTGATGTGTTCAAACACGTCACAGCCCCAAACAATGCCGGTATGAAGACACAGGCCCCCCCCATCCCAGCGACGCATGCCCAACCGTCCAGGGAGCCAAGTGGCTACCTTTGGTTTTTTGTTTGGTTGGTTCCTTTTCTTTTTTTAAGGAAAAAAAAAATAATAAAACAGAGGTGGATTTGAGCTGTGCTTATAAGGGGTCCTTGGGTCCCGCTGCGTGGCTATTGGGGTTGTCAGGCAGAGGGTCGTGAGTCAGGCCCTTCTTTGTCCCCTGACTATGGGGCTTTTGAGCCTTCAGCTAGTGGGGTCCCCTCTGTGCCTCTGCTCCTCCTGGGTTGATCAGCACTTGGTCACATGGGACCTGCCTGGTCTATGCCCCCTGGGAGGAGCTCACAGGCCCCTCTCTGTTCTCACTCAGTCTTTAGGGCCAGTGGTGGCTAGTGACCTGCTGGCCCTCTTCACCCCCAGAGACCACTCCGCTCCTGGGTCGGCTGAGAAAATGTGGAGTAGACAAGAGATTGCAGTAAATATTTATAACCAATCAGAAAACAAACACCATGACCGTTGGGGCACACTGGGCACGAAGCTTGGTGGGGCGGCCGGGGCTGCCCCAGCTTTTGGCAATAAATAAAGCTTGGGAAAACTTGAACCCTTGGCCATTTGGGTTTTGTTTTTTTTTTAACGTTCCTTTAAGCACTAGAGATGTCCTTGCGATTCCTTTGGGTGATGCAGCTGCAGGGGCGGGCAGCCCAGTCACATGCAGAGGGTGTGGGGCACGGAGGCGGGAGGAGCTGCTTGGGGGGCGGGTGTAGGGTGTGGGCGGGAGCAGCAGCAGTGGTGCCGGTTATTGCTCGGAGGGGGCGCAGGTGGCCGTGAGCACACGCCACGGTGAGGTACGCGGTGAGGTAAACGGCTTCGAGGGTTGGCAGCGCAGCCCTGGGCCGACCTCATGTCAGCCTGCAGGCCAGGACGCTCCCGCCGGCTCCTCTGCTGCCTAGGCGGCCTCCGAGGGCGGGAGGCTCGCAGGAGGCTCTGCGCATGCGCTCCAGACGCCCCCACACGCGCACGCACACGCATCTTTCCTACCATTTCTCTTCAGGTTAGTAGTCCTCGTGCATGTGTCTGAGGTCGCCCGCCACTGAGGCCCGTGCCTGCTGTCGCCCGACGGTCACTCCTAAACCACTATTTGGGGCCGCAGGCAGTTGGACTGGTCCTCAGGAACCTGAAGATTAGAATTCTCAACTTCCCCATCAGGTCCTGGTCCCAGAGCTTTGCCTCAGGAACCCTGGGGACCCGAGGAGCCTGCGGGGACCTCTGCGCGTGCGCCCTGGGGCGGCCAGCGCGGCTTCCGGCAGGGGCGATGCGGCGCAGGGTCTCCCACCTGGAGGCCCGGCGCGGCGCTGCCTGGAACTCGGGGCGCGGGGCTTAGGCCGGGCTGTGGTCAGGAGACGTTGGAGCAGCGGTGGCCAACACTGGTGCCGCTGAGACTGGCTGAATGAGGCGCGGCGGGAAGAGTCTTTCCTCGAGGCCTGCCCCCAGCTTGTGCAGCAGTGCCTCTGTGGGCTCCACGCACAGGCCCGCGCCGGAGCAGCCACCGCCACCACCGCCACCGGGCTCCTCCTCGATGGCTGGGATAGTGGCGGCGGCCAAGTCATCGGACCCAGAGCCAGCACCGCGCGTGGGTGGCGGCGGGCCATCGACACTGTCGCCGCGACGCAAGGGTGCGCGCGCGGGACGGGGCTCGGCTCCTGGAGGAGGCAGAGCCTGCGCGGCGCGTGCTCCGGGATCGCTGTGCTGTCGGCCACGTTGCCACTGCTTGCGTGCGTGAGGATGCGCGCGTGCGCGATGACGCGCGGCCACCGTGGGGTTCTCATCGAACTGCGGGTCGTGGCGAAGAAACTCGTGAAAGAGGGCATCCGTCTTCTCATCGATGCTGTAGTCGCGGCGAGGGCCACGGCGAGGCCAGACGCGCGGGCTGCGGGGCGGCGCGGGGGTGACTGCCGCCTCGGCCTGAGCTGCCTCAAAACTGTCTGCGACGATGGCCACGCGGCCGGCACTGAAGGAGAAGCGCTTCTCAAAGGCGCTGGGCTGCCCGTCGTCGCTCGCGCCGCGGCCCTCGATGCTGGCATAGCCGCTGTCCATCTGCAGGAGTTTACGGGACCCACCCGTCTCGCTGGCGTCACCGTCCTTGGGCCGCGGTGCAGGTGGCGGCGAGGACGGCGGGAAGGCGGGCGGCGGGCCCCCGGAACCCGAGCTGTCGCCGCTGCGCACAGAGTCATGGTCGTTGCCGCTGCTGCTGTGGTCCGAAGCAGTGGCCGCGTGCAGTTCGAGCGAGGCGCGCAGCCTCCAGATGTCGTTGCAGCCCGTCTGGGTCTGCTCTGGGTCCGAGTCCGGCTGCTGCTGCTGCTCCGAGTCCGGCCCTGTGCTGCCGCGCTCCGTGGGGGACTCGGGGCTGGCTCCTCCCGCGGCGGCGCCCTGCTCCTCGGCTGCCTCTAACCTGCAAGCCAGGCGGGGGTCGTTAGAAGAACCCACGGGTCAGGGGTCCCTGCACCCCCGTCCTGGCCACTCCACCTCTGGGACCTTCATACTTAGCGGTGACCTCTTGAAAATGAATTTTTCTAAAATGTCTGTCACCAGCTTTGGTCGGGGGCATTGGCTCCACCCGGAGCCCTGGTGCCTGCCCGGGATTTTCCCAGGAGAGGGCTTGGCAAGCTTGAAGAAAAAGGCCAAAGGCAGCCATAGGGCCTAAAACAGCAGCCCCAGGAATGGAGTCACACTTTTTAAGTCACTGTTGACATTTTAGAGTAAGTGGGGGACTATGGGCAAAGCTGCCCACCCCCGGCACCCCTATCCCAGATCCACAGGAAGAAGGGACACAGACACGGCAGGGTTAGTCATCCTCCTGCACAATGCCCTCCCGTGCCATGACTGGTGACTGCCCAGTAGTGGCCAGCATGTCCACCTTGACCCAGTTATCCCATGGCCATCCTGTATGTTCCTGAGGCCACAGAAGGGACCTCACAGGAAACAGGCTCCACCTAGAGACCAGGAGGCTCTGCCTGACCACCAAGTGGAGATGGCCGTGGAGATGGGCGCCTGCCGTGGCCTGGATCCCATGCCAAGCACTGCTCACGACAAGGCTGACCAGCCCTCAGGAGGACAGAGCAGCAGGTGAGGGGCCAAGGACTACACACTGAAGCCACAGGAGCCCTGCTGAGGAAAGGGTCCTGTCTTGGGGGTCCCCCCGACCAGGCCCTCCACCCTTACCAGGTCTTCCCCTGCTTCCCTCCTCGGGTCCTCGCAGCACAGGTGGCCCCAGCGAATCCGCCTCAGGGAGGGGCCCGTGGAGCACAGCCACCTAAGGGAGATGGGGCAGGGGCCCCCAGGTCCGTCCCTAGCGCCTCTATCTACTGAAAAATACCTGCCGAGAGCGGGGGGCGGGCTGGTGGGACTAGCCAGGAAGGGGCCGGGGGACGGGAAGGCCACAGTGTCTCCAGCTCGTGCGATGTACTGGATGAAGTCTGAGTGGGGGACATCCACCTCCTGCTCCATGCTCTCACTGGCGGCCCGCTGCCGCTGAAAATGATGCCTCTTAGGCGAACCTGCTCAGAGGAAACTACCGTCAGCCCACCACAATGGACCCCAAAGTGTCTCCCACCTAGGCCAGGTAAGTGTTGATGCAGTTTCCCACAGTGGACGCTGTGACTCATAGGAACCGATGTAACAGAGCACTCTCCCAGGTGTCCGAGGCCAAGCGCTCAACTGTTTGACCATCAGCGCTTTGTACACCTGGACACAGGTAAGGAAGCTGATGTAGAAGATCTGGGCAGACAGGCACAGCCAGAAGGAGACTTGGGATCCAGTGGTGGTACAGCTGGTGAAAAACAGACCAGCCGGAAAGTGTGGGAGTGAGAGGCAGGCTGGGGGTGCACAGGGGATGTGGGGTTACCCAGCTCCACCCGTGGGCCCCTGGCCTGGGGCCAGGCCCTCCCACATCAAGAAGGCCTTGGAGAAGCTTCTGCAGGAAGGCCTCAGGGGTGGGAGGCATGCCACCCGGCAAACAGGTTCTGGGCACTTCTGCAACTGCTTTTGACTATAATCGCACTTTGGAATCATGGACTCTGTCTGAAACCGAGTCTCGGCTCTGAACTGGACAACCATCCCACACCTCACGCCTCCCTGCCCCCTGGAGACAGTGCCCCTCCCTGGCCGCCTGTCTCCCTACAGGCCCCAACGAAGTAACCCCTGCCCGACAACTTCCCGCCCCTTCCGTCCCTGTCCTGCCTTGTCCTCTCCCCTCAGCTGCACTCCACTTGTTCCTGGTGCTGAGACTTGAGTTGCCACCGTCCCTTCAAACAGGTAGCACAGCCTTAGACCCTCTGTGCTGGCCTCATCTGCCAAGCCCCCGGCCCTGAAGGGCTGCATCATCTAACCTGGGAACTGGCACACTCATAAGGCCCATGGACGGAAGCAACCCACTGCCTGTTTTTATAAAGTTTTATAAAGTTTTATCCACATATAGCCACGATCTCTCATTTCCCAATCATCTGCAGCTTCTCGCCTCCGAGAGCCAAGCTGAGTAGTTAAGATGTGAACCCTGTTCCAATCCACCCATCCAGTGGCCGGAGAAAGCCACAGCTGTGATATGCAAACCAACTGCCCGGAAAAATCCCAGCTGGCTGGAAAGGGAAGCAAAAGAGGGGGCTCGGGTCCCTGGGGGACCTGACAGCTTAAAGTAGGGGTCCCATTGTTCAGCACAGGCCCAACTATGACGGGAGGGGGCTGAGGTCCACTGTGGCAGACTCCTGGGCCCACAGAATATTCCCCACACAGCAGCCTCGGAGGACTGGCTCGGGGTCCCCTCCACTCTGCCCCTGCGGCCCCTGCTCACCTCTCGTGTCCAAGCTGCACGCCCGCTGGCTGGCCTCCAGCTTCCACTTTTTGACTTTAAAGTAGGGGCTAGCCCCATCTAGGCTGGCATGGCGCCGCAGACGAGTGAGGAACTGCAGCACGGAACCAGCGCCCGCCTCGCCAGGCCCCACTGCAGCCCCAGGCCCACTAGCCCTGGCGCTCCGAGCACCTGCATCCAGCTGAGCGAAAGAAGGGTAGGCTGTGAGTCTGAGCAGCGGGCAGCGTTTAGCTTCAGCAACCATGCAAGTCCTGACTCGGTCCAGCAGCCATTCAAAAGCTGGGACTCAGGCACGCTCATTCTTCCCCAGCCACCCTCCCAGCTGTGCCTCTGGGAAGGACCCTGGCTTAAGGGCCCTGGCTTCACCCTTGTGGGCACTCAGACACTAAAACAGGGAAGAGAAGCCAAAGTGCCTCGTGTCAGTGAGCACACGTGTGTAGGTCTACACACGTCTCCTCCTGTGTGTGCAGTACTAAGCCATATAGGGGGCCATGAAGGGCAGAGGCCACCAGCTGACCTTTGACCCACGCCGGGGAAAGGATGGGTTGGAGTTCCGCTCAGCCCCCTACCCCTCATTTCCAGACAACAAGAGAATGGCACAAGGGTATGCCGGCTGCCCCTTACCGAGGTGCCCTCCCCAGAGTCACTTGACACTGAAGGGCTGATCTCCACAAAGCCAGCAGCACCCGCGGCAGAGTTGTAAGGATCACCTGGCAGGGCGGAGCTGGGGCCCACAGAGCGGCCAGTGAGGGCCTTCCCCGGGGGCTGTGGGACAGAGCCGTGGGGGAGCAGTGACAGGTCAAAGGGCACAGGACGCTGGCCGTCCAGGGCCTGAGCCCCCCCAAACACACACATGACGAGGGGTGAGGACACTGGACTCATAGGCCAGGACCTGGGCATCGGCCCTGTTGGCCGCCCCAGGCACAGAAGCTGCCCCCCAGTCCCGTCGGCTGCTCCATGGCAGGTTTACCTGGAAGATGGCGAGGCTGCCTTTGGAGGGGGCAGGTGGGTGGGGTGTGGTCACCGCACTGGCCTCGCCTGAGTCACATTCATGGATGGTGATGATCTTTAGAGGCGGCAGGTGCAGGTGCGTGAGGCGGGCATTCTTCAGGTGGTGAAAGTCACCCTCTGTCAGTGTGTACCTTGGCAGGCGTGGCCAAGGCCCTGTCAGTGTCCTGCCCAGTGTCCACTGGGCTCCAACACCACGTGGCACTCACCCTCCCAGGGCCCACAAGGTGCCCTGCGATGCACCCTCTTACCGGCGGCCCTTGTCTTGTGCCTTGCGGCTCTGTTCAAACAAGGCGGCCTCGTTGAAGGAGACCCGGCGGCCCGTAGCACTGGTGGCCAGGAAGCGCTCGGTCTCAGCATCCTGGCCCTCAGGGTCCTCGCCCCGGGAGGCGGGGTCTGCAGAGGAGAGGCAGAAAGGGGGTGGGCCGCGCCTGGTCCTTGGTGGGCGGGCAGGCAGGTGGGCAGAGATGTATGGACACAGGTGTGGGCACTCGCTCATCCGCTCACACACTCACACGCTCAGCACACGCCTGTGTGCACCTAGGCGGTGGGCTTTAGGGAAACAGAGATGAGTCGGAATCGAGTCGCGCCCAGTCTGGTGGGGGAGACAGACAGACACAGCCGGTCAGGTGGCTGGGGTGGGTGGGCAGTGTGGGTGGCTAAGGGGGTGGTGCTAGGGGGCTGGGGCCAGCTGGGATCCTCACCTTGGGCCACGTGGGTACCACTGTCTAGGTAGGTGGTAGTGGTCTTCTCCACTTCCTCCATGGCTCTGTGGAGGGGCAGGAGGGCACCATGGGACATAAGGCTCAGATAGTGTCCCCTCGGGCTTGGGTCATTTCTGTGTACCTGCAGGAGCCCACCCATGTGGGAACACAGGTCCTGCCCAGACGTTCCACGACCCCCACTCAGGCAGGCTCCTCACCAGCTGGGACCCTCCCTACACCATCCACAGGTCACACCTGTGCACACTGACAGGCATGTATATATCCATCCACACAGTTGTGTGCACACCTGCAAACACGTGAACACACATATGCAGTCACAGCTGCCCACATGCAAGCATATACACACACCCGTGTACACACAGACTGTAGAAACGTGTGCACAGTCCCACATATGTACATGTATCTATACACTGCTCTGTGCACACCTGCATACAACCATATAGGAACACACATGGATCACACACATGCACATACGGCTACACCTGTGCAGTCACATGCATCTGCACACCTGTATGCAACCACACATGTGTACACTTGTGTGCAGAGATCATATGCATACACACACATTTCTGTGCATGCCTGCAGCATGTACATGTAACCACACACACTTGTGTACCCACTGAGATCATACATACATACCACACCTGTGCACGCACATATGCGTATGCACCTGTGCACTCACACCCCAACTGTATGTACACCCAGGTAACCACACAGAAAGGAACACACCTCTATACAACCAAAGTTGCACACACATGCACAAACATACACATCCGCACCTGTGCATCCACATGTAAACCAATCCAGCCAGCAGGCCGGCATGTAAATGCGCATGCCCAGCCCTCACCTGTGTGCACGACGATGCCCCTCCCAGCAGCGTTTACACAGTAACAGCACCCCCGACAGCACCACCAATGTGCCCCCGACGAAGAGGGACATGACCACCACCAGCAGCACATAGTTGTCCAGGATGGGGTCAGGCTCCGCCTGTGAGGGATATGGTCAGGGTGTCCAGTCTGGACTCTCAGCCCCACCCCACAGCCCCTTCTCACTCACCGTGGGGCGGCCCGTGGTATTGTCCCACGATGTGGTCAGCACCACATTGGTGGCAGAAGTGCCTGTGGCCATGGTGGCTGTGGGCTGCATGGTGGAGCCTTGAAGGGCAGCCTGGAGGAGGGCAGGACATCCTCTAGTGGTAACCCATAGGAGCCTTTGGAAACCAACCTCCATCTGCCCTCCCAAAGCACGCGCCCACACGAGCAGGGCGTTGCCTCATGTCAGGGGATGGGGGCCCTGCCTGGAGTGGGCTGGCAGGCCGAGAGAGAGCAGGCATTCTCTACACCTCCGTTTCTCCATCTTTGGGCGGGGGTGGCTGGTGCACCAATACCTACCTTCTAGCCAGTGGAGCCGGATCAGGCAGGGGGGCAGAGAAATGGGGAAACTGAGGCCGGGACTCGGGCTCAGGTGGGACCCTAGGTCCCCAGGCCCAGTCCACCCCATCAAGGATGTCTGCCCCGCCCCGCCCCACCCTGCCCGGCCCTAAGCTGGGCCCCAGGTAGTTAACAGGTAGGAGAGGGAGTACGCCGTACGCAGGGGGGGGGCCGCCCACAACGGAGGGGAGGGGTCACGACTAGACCGGTGAGGGTCCCCCTCCACAGAGCGCCAGTGGGAGTGGAGAGGACAGGCGTGCGCATCTGCCTGAAGAACCCGGTTCCCATGGCGACGGCGCAGGCCGAGGGGGGGGGTGGGAGGGTTGCCAGGGAGCAGGGGCGGGAGCAGCGGGAGGAGGCCCTGCAGGGGCGGCTGCGGAGCCGGCGGACTGGCAAGATGGCTGCGGCCGCCTACCGCGATACCACCTCGGCCTCTCGGGCTCCTGGACACTGCCCTGCCCCCTACACCCAGCTCAGACTAGCTGGGGGTCAGCGGCTGTGCCCTGAAACCTCCTCTGGGATGACCAGCCGTCCCAAGTCCGCGTGGTACCGCAGGATCCTTTACGAAAGCCTGGGGACAGGCCCTTTCAGGCATTAACTCCCACTAGACAGCAGGGAAACTGAGACCGGGAGAAGGGCAGACTCCTGGCGCGAGCCTGGAGTCCTCAACGCTCCTGACCGAGGCTGACCAGGGCTCTCCGCACTCCGGGAAGGGGGTGCAGGCAGAGATGTAGGTCGGGAAATGAGTTCAAACTGGAGCAGATGAAAGGAGGCCGAGAGACAGAGGGGTTCTTGGGAAAGCAGAAACTCAAGAGGGTCTCCCAAGGTCTAGGTGGTCTCGGCTTCCAGTGAGCTCGCTCCGCTTCCACCACCCCCTCCCACGCCCCGGGGGAACTGTGTTTAGGGGCGGGGCAGCCGAGATCAGGGGAAGGTGGGAAACAGGCGACCCAGACCCTGATTCCAGGTGCATCTCCCGGAGGCGAAGACACCATCATTCCCTCATCGTACAGGGGAAACTGAGGTTGATCAGGGCGCGGGGAGAAGTGTCCCCCTCCAGTGGCCGAAGGGGCGGGGCGCAGAGCCCCACGAATTGGGGATAGAGTCCCCCGATTCCCGATCCCTGCCTGGCCGCTCCTACCTTAGCGCCGGGGCGCGCAGCCCATGGGCGGCGGCGGCACGGCAGTGGCTCCCGGCTCGTTCGGCCTGGCAGCGCAGAGAGGCGCGGATTTATGAATGGAGCGCGCGCGGCCCACCGCGTCTGGGAGCGGCAGGAGGGGCGCGCACGTGATCGCGTTGGCGGCGCGCCCGGCCCGGTGGGTCCGGCTCGGGGCCGCTCGCGGCCGCTCGGTCCCCGCGGGCCACCCCCGCCGTGCTCTGCCGCCGCGTCTGGTTTGCTCCAAGCCGGCCACCGCCTCCCCTTCCCTTCCGGCGGGGGCGGGGGGCGGAGCCTGCACTCCAGTCGCCCCCTCCCCACAAGGAGCCGCCGATCCCCGCCCCCGAGTTGGGGGCGTCTTCCATCCCTCCACCTTCATGGCCCCCGCTACCTCAAGGTTTCAGTTGACAAGGACTCCTTCGGCCTGGGGAACCGTGGAGTGCACAGCCCATGGGGTCTGGGGTTCAGTCTGGAGTGTTCAACTCCCCTCAGCCCAAGGCTCCTGAGATGCACAGCCTGGGCACCTTGGGGAGCACAACTTGTCCCACCTGGGAATCTCCAAGATGTACAGGCCAGAGCCTCCTTGGCAGATGTCTCTTCCCTCGTCTTGTATAGCTCATGTGAGCTCCCAATATCTTCCAGACACCACTGGTATTGACTCCATTCCTCTCCTGAAGTGAAACAAGCAAAGGTTTTGCAGAGGTACTTAAACCTTTGTCCAGAGCCAACAGAGCCCAAACTTGGGGTAGCCTTCTCCGTGCGGGGTGACCTTCAGGCACCTCAAGTCTACCATCTCCAAACCCCATCCTCCCTATGCTCAGACTACAAAGTGCCACCCAATTGGTCTAGTTACCAGCCAAGTCTACCTGGGCCTTGGTGCCATCCCCCCTACCTAGGCCCCCATTCTCTGTCGTGGAAAGTCGAGGTTCCTGGGCAATTCCCCTTCACCTCCTGGCTCTCCAAACGCCCCAAGCCCAGGCCAGCCTCTGTCCAGAGATCCTTCACCATTCAGATGCCTTTCCTCTCTCCTCTTTCTACTCTCTTGAAAGCTGAAATCTCTGAAATCTTGAAAGCCCCTGCCCTGCGCTTTCTTCATGGTTCTACAAGGTGGGTTTTACTTGCTCCCTTCTTGCCTCGTCCCACTATACCAATGAGCTCAAAGGGCAGGACGTGATGCCCTGTTGGTTCCCTAGACTCAGCCAGGGCTAGGAACAGTGTGCATGCAGAAACGTCAAAATCCACCTGAGCAAGGACGAGAGACGGGGTGGTGAGGCTGTCAGGAACTGGGCGGGGAGCTGGGAAGCCATTTAGTGGTTCTCAGAGGGAGGATGATAACCAGGATTTGGTTTTTCAAACCGAGACATACTCTGCTTGTGTGGGGAAAGGCACCCCGTGAGGCCAGAAGAGGAGGCTGGGCTGGTGCAGGCCAGAGATGGTGGCTGTGCTAGACCAGACTGGCCTTAAGATGGGTTCATTGGAGAATTCCGGTACACCCAGGTTTGGGGCATGAGTAACACCAAAGGAAGGGGGCTGGGTTGGGCCCCCGCCGGTGGGCCGCCGACCTGCATGAGCGCGTGGGCGGGACGTTGACGTCAGAGTCGCGACCGAGGCTGCGCAGGACGCGGCTGACGTCAACGGAGCTCCGGGCCGCCCGCGCACGCGCCCCTGCGTAAAGGCTGCGCGTAGGCGGCTGGAGGCCAGGGCTCGGGGCGCGCGTTCTTGTGCTCGGAGCGCCACCTACTGGTGAGCTCCGTAATGCCTCGGATACCTAGACCTGCAAACGCAACTGCCCCCATGTGCTTCGCATTTTCCACTTTTAAAATAAACCTGTGCCCTCTTACCACGCGCCGTGAGATTAACTCTTTTATTAGATTGAATGCCGTTGGTTAAGCCCCTCTATATATCCCTGATATCTCTCGCTCCAGGCCCTCGTCTCTGTTAAAAATATTAAGTCAATATCCGACTTCCAAATGGGAATAACTTTTCAACTGTTGTTAGGTGTCCTCGAGTTAGTTCGCCTCATGGAGATACCATGTGCAATAGGACAAAACAGTGCCGGGTCCTGCGTCATCGTCACAGTTGTTAGTTTTGAGCCCATTGTTGCAGACGCTGTGCCAATCCACCTCACCGGAGGTCTTCCTCTAGTTCACTGACCCTCCACTTTCCCAAGCACGTTTTTCTCCGGGGATTGGTCCCTCCTGATAGCAAGTCAAAAGTGCGTGGAATGAAGTCGTGGCATACCGTCTCCGAGGAGCATCTGGCGGTACGTCTTCCAAGACAGGGAGTAAAAAGTATTCAAAAGATTAAACAACATCCAAAGATTCATATGTACCATGTTGTCTATATTTCCAAGTGGCTAACCATGGTATTTTCAATAACCTCATAAGCATGTGAAAGCTGGGCAGTGAATAAGGAAGACCGTAGAAGAATTGACGTCGTTGAGTATGGTGTTGGAGGAGAATATTGAAAGTGCTGTGGGCTGGCAAAAGAACCAATAGATCTGTGTTGGAAAAGTGCAGCCAGAGTGCTCCTTGGAGGCCAAGATGCCAAACTTCATCTCTCATACTTTGGACATATTGTCAGGAGGGAACAGTCGCTGGGTAAGGATATGATGTTTGGTAAGGTGGAGGGTCAGGGAAAAAGAGGAAGACCCCCAACGAGATGGATTGGCCAAGTGGCAGCATCGATGGGCTCAAGCGTGGCAACAGTAGTGAGGTTGGCCCAGGATCGGGCAGTGTTTCGTTCTGATGTGCATAAGGTCACTATGAGTCAGTACTGACTCGATGGCACCAAACAACAACAACAAACATTCAGAACTAGTCCGCCTCTCCTTCCGAGTCTATCTTATTCTGGAAACTCAGCTGAGAGTTGTCCACTATGTGTGACCCTGCTGACATTAAAATATCGGTGGCATAGTTGCCAGCATTACAGCAACACTCAAGTCAACACAGTACGACAAAGCTGACAAATGAGTGGAGGAAGTGAAAAAACTGAACAGAACATTTCAAAGGACCACTCAAGAGGACAAAGGCACATATTATAATGAAATGTGCAAAGATCTGGAGTTAGAAAACCAAAAGGGAAGAACATGCTCAGCATTTCTCAACCTGAAGGAACTGAAGAAAAAAATTCAAGCCTCAACTTGAAATACTGAAGAATTCTTTGGGCAAAATATTAGTGATACAGATGCATCAAAACAAGATGGAAGTAATACACAGAGTCTCTGTACCCAAAGGAAATGGTTCAACCACTTCATGAGGGAGCATACGATCAAGAGTCAGTAACACTGAAAGGAATCCAACGTGCATTGAAGGCAAAGAACAAGGCTCCAGGCATTGATGGAATACAAATTGAAAAGTTTAAACAAACTCCCGTGGCACATGAAGGCATTCATTCATCTCTGCCAAGAAATTTAGAAGACAGCTATCTGGTCAACTGATTGGAAATGATCCATATTTGTGCCCATTCCAAAGAGAGGTGATCCTATAGAATGCGGAAATCATTGGACAATATCACTAATATTACATGCAAGTAAAATTTTGCTAAAGGTAATTCAAAAACGGCTGCAACAATGCATTGACGGGGAACTGCCAGAGGTCCAAGGCGGATTCAGATGAGGACATGGAACAAAGGATATCATTGCTGACATCAGATGGATCTTGGCTAAAAGCAGGGACTACCAGCAAGATATTTTACCTGTGCTTTACTGACTACGCAAAGGCTTCCAACTTAATGAATCATGACAAGCTATAGGCAACATTGTGGAGAACTAGCAATCCAGAATACTTAATTGTGCTTAATACTTAAATGAAAGTGTACATAGACCAAGAAACAGTCATTCTAACAGAACAAAGGGACACTGAATGGTTTTAAATCAGGAAAGGTGTGTGCCAGATATGTATTCTTTCACCGTACTTAGTCAACCTGTATGCGGAGCAAATAAACCGAGAAGCTGAATGATATGAAGAAAAACATGGCATCAGGATTGGAGGAAGACTCATTAGAGCAACCTGCCATATGCAGATGATATGACCTTGCATGCTGAAAGTGAAGAGGACCTAAAGTATTTACTGAGGAAGATCGAAGACCACAGCTTTTGTTGTAGTTTGCACCTCAGTGTAAAGAAAACAAAAATTCTCATCACTGGACCAGTAAATAACATCATGATAAATGAAAAAAAGATTGAAATTATCTAAGACTTCATTTTGCTTGGATCCACCATCAACACTCATGCAAGCAGCAGTCAGGAAATCAAATGTTGTATTTCATTAGGCAAATCTGTTGTATAAGACCGGAACGCCTCTTTAAAGTGTTCAAGAGTAAAGACGTCAGTTTGAGAACTAAGATGCATCTGACCCAAGCCATGGTATTTTCAATAAATAGCCTCATATGTGGAAGTTAGATAGTAAATAAGGAAGACTTCAGAAGACTTGATGCATTTGAGTTACGGTGTGGGAGAAGAATATTAAAAGTACCATGAACTGACAGAAAAACAAATCTGTGTTGGAAGAAATACAACCAGAATGCTCTTAGAAGCCAAGATGGCGACACTTCATCTCTCATACTTCAGACCTATTATCAGGAGGGATCAGTCTTCGGAGAACAACATCGTGCGTGGTAAAGTGGAGGGTCAGCAAAGAAGAGGACACCCTCCCACAAGATGGATCAGCACAGAGGCAGCAGCAATGGGTTCAGGCGTGGCTGTCATTGCGAGGATGCTGCAGGACCTGGAGATGTTTAAGTCGCTTGTGCATAGGGTTGCTAGGGATTGGAACCAACTTGATGGCACCTTAATGACAAAACCTACATTGCCATGGAAGCAGTGTGCTATAGAGTAACGATCTACCCTAAAAATCAGCTTCTAGTGTGACCCTAGAGTTTTCATTCATGAAATCGCATATTGAGAAGCCTTCAAAAGAACGTGTCTAGAGAAAAACGCCTTTACTTAGCTCTTCCCTTGGCTATTGCTTGACTTACAGGTGACTTTGTTGTTGTTGTTGTTAAGTGCCGTCAAGTCGATCCCGACCCATATCTACCCTGTGTAGGGTTTCCAAGGAGCAGCTGGTGAGCTTGAACCAGTGACTTTGCAGTTCAGACAACTTTGCAGTTGGACGCATTAGCCCACAGCGCCACACCAGGACTCCATACAGGTGACTTTAAGGAAACCCAGTTTTCTCAAGGCTCAAGGTTCAAGAAGACATGTAAGGAGAATGGTCCCAACTCTGTGGACCCCAGAAATCTGGATTTCACAAGAATTAAGTTTCTTATGAAGGTCTGGTGTGACGCTATAATATAAGCACTGGACTGCTAAACACTAGGTTGGTGGGTCAAACACACCAGCCGATCCTTGGAAACCTTATACAGGGTCACTGTGAGTCGGAATGGACTCAACATGAATTGAGTTTCTTTTCTTACATCCCCTGAGCACTCCAAACGTCATGAACTAAATTAAAGCTCAGGCACCCCCGCCTCCAGCAGGCTTTTCCGTGGTTCCCTAAGAGCCTTCAGGCCGCCTCTGATACCCCTTCTGAGTAAATTTTTTTGGGGTGGAGGTGGGGGCGGGGTTTCTTAGAAGGGAAACTACAATCCCCAGCATGCTGTACGCGCAGCGGCAAGGACGTCGCGCGGGCACCGATGGGAGTCGTAGTTTGCGCCTGCGCTCTGGCGCGGACTGATTCTCCCAAACGACCCTGCGCGCCGTCCTCGTCGCCCTCCAGGCCCGAGTCCGCCACTCGCCGCTGCCGGCTTTCCGCGCCTACCGCTGCCATGCTGCCCGCCGCGCTGCTCCGTCGCCCCAGTCTGAGTCACCTCGTGCGTCTGACCCGCGCCTACGCGGAGGCCGCTGCTGCCTCGGCCCCTGCCGCGGCACCTGGGCAGATGTCCTTCACCTTCGCCTCGCCCACGCAGGTTCGGATGCCAGCCGCGCTTGGGCCCTGGTCAGCAGTCCCTCACCTCTGGACGGCCCAGAGTCAGGCTCGTAACGATTCGTTGGCTGGACACGACCCCCATCCGGTCCCCAGATCTTCTTAGCCATCCTGAATCCGAGCCCCCCACTCACAATCTTGGGTCGCTGAACCCCCGGCTCTTTTCTGCATCCACCGGTGTGATCCAGAACCAGAGCGCCTCCCTAATTCTTGGGTGTCTGGACTCGGACCCCGCACCCCGTGGTGGTGTAGAGTCCGAGTCTCTCAATTCCTTGTTTGTTGGACCCCCAAGCCCTCTAAAGGACTCCTGGACCCGCGTTATCTGGTCTGAGATCCTGCTTTCCTGTTCCGCATATGGACTCAAGCTTTGCACCCTCGGTCACTGTTCGCTGGATCTCAGCCACCTTCTGGACCCTGGCTGCATGTCCCTCTCTTGTGGTCCAGAAACGAGAGCAGAACAGCCACTGTCCTAATATCTGCACCCGTGGTCCTTCCTTCGCTTTGGAGTCCAGGACTCCTAACCCCCACCCAGGTCAAGATCACGCTCACTGTATGACCCTTTGGGGTTGGTGTGGCCAACTGTCTCTGCTTGTTCCATAGTAGGCGGTTTCCTGTGGATGGACTATATTGCCTCTTCCATTCTTATTCGGCGGATGAACAAACTGAGGCACAGAGAAATTGTCCCCTTTCGGTCCCTGATTCATGTTACAGCTGAACGGGCTGGGCTGAATCCTAGTGGGCAAGGGCTGACCTGCAGTGACCTGCTCCCCTTGCCCTTCTGTGTTCTCCCAGGTGTATTTCAATGGTGCCCACGTCCGCCAGGTGGATGTGCCCACACAGACAGGATCCTTCGGCATCCTCGCATCCCATGTGCCCACGCTGCAGGTTCTGCGACCAGGACTGGTCGTCATTCACGCTGAGGACAACACTACCACCAAGTACTTTGGTGAGGCAGGGGTCTGGCCCCCCAGGCCCCGTGAGGGGGTGAGAACACAAATTGGGCTACAGGGTTGCAGGGATATTGCAGAAGATGAAGAGGGTTGTGTGTGGTCCCTTTTACTGCCAGTTGGGTCGTAAGGGAAGACAAGTCTAGGTGGTAAGGGGAGGCCCCTGCAATTGAATGGAAGCATGTATTGGTGTTTGTGTGTCTGTGGGGGGTGTATATGTAAACCTGTTCTTCAGTATCAATTGCTTCAGGAGTTGGGGAGGATTTGAACCCAGCCATCCTGGTTCCTTCCCTCAGCTTGTAGCCCAAAGCCCCTGGTGTTCCCCCCTCTCCGTCCCTACCTTTTCTATTCTCTGCCCTCTCTCTGGGTGTCTGCCTTTTTCCTAACCCTGACCCCAGCCCTGTGGGAGCCACCCTGAGCAGTGGCCATTGGAGGATTTCAAATGCAGTGTTTCCAGTATTGGCATCTTGAGGGCTGTGCTGTCTGGGAGACCGACCTGGGTCTCACACCGTCTTGTGTGTGTCCCTAGTGAGCAGTGGTTCCATCACAGTGAATGCTGACTCTTCTGTGCAGTTACTGGCTGAGGAGGCTGTGACACTGGACATGTTGGACCTGGGGGTGAGTGTTGAGGTGGGGAGCATGCCAGTGGCAGAGTGTCCCTTCTACCCACTCTTCCCCACTTCACTCACCCCCACCTCTGCAGGCAGCCAAGGCCAACCTGGAGAAGGCGCAGTCAGAGTTGTCCGGGGCGACAGACGAGGCCCAGCGGGCAGAGATCCAGATCCGCATCGAGGCCAGTGAGGCCTTAGTGAAGGCCCTTGAATAGCAGTGTATGCCCCTTGGCTCATGTGGGGAGACTGAGGCCCGACGGGGGTGATCTCAGCAGGAGGCTGACTCCAGGGGCCAGAGCAGTGCCTGCAGGATCCCTTAGAGGCACGGAGCTCTGCATCTTGATCTGGGGTGGTCTTTCCCCTGCCCCCAGCACACCCTCTACTATGCCCACCCCTATTCCAATTAAAGACTGGGAACCCCACTGTACTGCTGTGTGGTACCTGCCTGGGGTGGGTTACAGCCCACCGCTGGGGGGCTGGACTCACTGTAGGGGTACTGGCCCTAACCCCAGGCGTGGGTCGAGCGAAGGTCGCCAGCCAGGCCTGGCTGGGCTAGCAGGCGGAGGCGGGCGAGGCCACCACTCCCAGGCTGCGGCATCTATGCCTGGGGCCCGGGCCAGGCTCAGCTTCCAGGGTGGGACCTTTTGGCTCCCCAGAGGCCCTGCCCTCCTGGGAAGAGACAGGGCCCATCAGCTCCCATGGAGACCCCACCCTGGGCACACCCACCGTGGGTGGCCCAGCCTGGCCAGCAGCCTGTGCCCTGGGTGTGGGCCCCACCCTTCCCGACTTGGCTGGTCAGTTGTGGCCTCAAGGCCCTCAGGGGGTTCTGGGGGACTGAATGCTCCAGCTCAGCGTCCTGTGTGTCAGCAGCAGCTAGGACAGTAGCAGGAAGACACACAGATGTCCACCACGCTCATGACTGAGTGACTGTCCCAGGAGCCGGGGGATTACAGGAGCACATCCTCTGCTGCCAGAGCCCCGCCCCCTCTCTCCAGAGCCCAGCTCCCTGAGTTCCTGGCTTGGCCTCTGGGGTGCTATAAATAAGACCAAAGACACCTTGGGCCCAGCCACAGGAGACCTGCACCAGTCACACAGAGCAGCTTGCTGGGGCACACAGCCAGGGGTCCCTGAGCAGGCTTCTGCCACCAGGGAAGGGGTGGGGGAACAGCCCGTGCCGGCCCAGTACTATAAACCACACGGACTCCAGCCTGCAACACTTGTGGATAAGCACATTTATTGAATTTGAGCTTCGTCTTTACAGCCCCATACCAAAGCACTGCCAACGTCCCTGCAGGGCCCAACCTAGAGCCCCAGGTTTCTATCCCACTCCGCTGCCCACCAGAGGAAGGGTGAGGCTGCCCATGGTCACAGAGTCCTGCAGTTCCTTCCTAACCTCTCAGACAGTAAGATGGCCTTGGGTGCCACGCCACCGCTTGAATTCCCTCTGCGGTCCCACAAACCCAACCTAGCCCCAAACTGCCCTTGCAGCTACCACTCTTGACCTCCAAAGCTTCAGCCCTCAAATCCCAGCCCCTGTGACCGCTACCAAGGTGCTTTCTGGGTTTCTCTCCTTGCCTCCTTGGGACCCAGCTCTGACCCCTGGGGCTGGGTGTGTCTGGTGTGTCTTGAGTGTTCCTGGCTCAGGCTGGGAGGGGGCCAGAAACTACAGGGTATGTTGGGTGGAAGCAGGAAGACCAAGGAGCCTGCAACCCTGGGAGGGGCACCGAGAGGCAGGGTGGGAGCAGAGGTGGCCAGCCCAGATAAAGGGGATCGGGGTGCGAAAAGCTTGGATTTCTCCATTCACCATCTCCCACCCCAGCAAGCTGGAGTGAGAAAGAGGCAGAGACCCCAGACATGCCTTGTTCCGTGTGACCTCAGATTCCCCATGGATTAGGTCATGGTTGTGAGGTGCCATTGAGTTCATAAGCGATCTGAGGAACAGCTGATTTGATCTTCTGACCTTGTGGCTTGAAGTCTAGTGCTGATCTTACAGCACCACACCAGGAATCCTGTGGCTTAGGTGGCCCATAGAGCACTTCTCTGAGCCTAAAGGATCTTCATTTCTTTCTCCTGCCACCAGGAGAAACAGGGTCAGACTTCAAGGTCACACTGCTCAGCCAGGTGTGAGAACAGGCCAGGCTCAGCTCAGGCAAGAAGAATGGCTTGGCTACATGTCCTCTGAGGTCACCGTTAAGGGATGCGGGCCGGGGCACGCAAACTCCTCACAGGTGACTCTGGCCTGCCCTTCTGGCCCCCTTTTTCCGCCCCACCCCTGACGCGGAAGCACCAGGCACTGGGGCGAGGAAGGGCAGGGAGGGGATTGACTGGCCACCAGAGAACCCGACTTGAGTAGGGGGTTCAGGGTCGCTCTAGGCGTGTTCCCCCCCCCCCATACTGGACGTGGTTTGGGTGGTGACTGACCCCAATCGACTGCGCTCCTGGGCACTGGCCTGTGAGCAGGGGCTGGGGCCAGCTTGCGTCACTGTGTCCCCCGCCCCCTGCCCGCCCAAACTCCACCCTGGGGAGGCGGCGCGGATAAAGGCTGGGGGCCGCCTTTTGGGCCCGAGACCAACCCAGCCACTGCTCCCTCTTCCCCGGACGTGGGGACATTCGGGACTGTGAACACCAACAAGCAGTTGCGCCCGGTGAGTGGGGGGCAGGATCCTGTGGACCTAGATTGAGGGGATCCAACCTGGAGATTCTGAAAGGAACCCCCACTCATTGTTCGGAGGTCAGGCAGGGTTAAGGGCATCTCCAGTCTGCGACGCCCCCTCCAGTGAGGGGGGGGTAGGGCTCCAAGTCGACCTCAGCTCTCACCCTTCCCCGCCCTGCGAGTGACCTTGAGCTGGTGGCCTCAGTTTCCCTGGCTACGACACCACAGGCTCGGACTCAGACCCTCGTAGGGCTCCACCTCCGCCCCCACCCCCAGCCGCGGTGTCCCGTCCCCGAGGCTCCGGGCCGCGCTCCCGGGCGGCACCGGCAGAGGGAGCGCCGGCGCTGCTGACTCACTGCAACCCGGAGCTGTGCGGACGGGCGGGCACAGCCGGGACGCCGCGTCACATCAAGGTTCAGGCGTGTGAGTCTAGGAAGCGGGCTTAGCCGGAGGGACTGGGGCAGGGGGAACTCGAGGTAGCATTGACCCAGGGTGGGGGATCGGTCTAGGTCGGTCCTTCCGCCCTTCCCCGCCCTTCATACTGCTCAGAGGCCCGGATAGGCTGCTAGGAACCTAGCGCCACGAGGCGCGGGGTCCGCTCTCGCTTCCGCTCGTGGCTGCTTCCCGGACCGACGCACCGGGGAGGCCCCGGGACTTCCTCTTTCCCCCTCCCCCCAGGGGCATGCGAACAATGACCCACGCTCCCTTCTTCTCTCCCTGGCCTTCCCAGAGGAGGGGCACGGGTCCAGTCAGGGGTACCAGCCTCAGGGCCTGACCAGTTCTTTGTTGCGGGCGCTGGCCCTTATGAATGGCCCAAGGAATGGGGGTCGTGGGGGTGTCCCTCAGAGGCGCCAGCCCCGCCCCCGCCGCTCTCCCCTTGGTCTCCCGGGCGCCGGGGGGCGGGTTAAGGGCGGGCCCAACTGCCACGTGGGGGAGCGCCCGGGCGGCGCTGATTGGCCATGGCACGCGGCCGTCAGGGCGGCGATTGGTCAGCGCGCTGCCGGCGGAGTAAGTAGTGAATGGGAGGGGGCGGCTGTCCCGCCCCTCGGAGCGTTGATACATTATAACTTTTTTTTCTTGTTACTTTCACCCCCAGATCTTCCGAGCGGCGGCGGCAGCGGCTGTTGCTAAGGGAGGGGACGCGGACCGCCGCGGCCAGTTCATAGACGGCACCCTTCACGGCTAGTCGGGACACGGGGCCTCCGCCTTCTGGTCCTCCATTGGGACCACCCCCGCACCAGACCAGTCTTGCTTCCCCCGCCCTCAGAAGGTGCCCGGAGGAGACGACGCGCCGCTGAAGAACACTCGGATTTTGGGGTTTGAATTGGCTTGACCCTGTTGGGACCTTCTCGGAGGGAACCCCGGCCTGCAAACGCCAAGAGAGCGAGACCCTCGCCTATCCCCCAGAGGATTAGTGGTGCCCCGCGGACCTACGAACACTGCTACCTCGCCGCGGCGGCGGCGGCGGCGGCGGCACAGCCCCCCAGCGCTGGCCGGGATGGAGCCGCAGCCCGGCGGCGCACGGAGCTGCCGGCGCGGGGCTCCCGGCGGCGCCTGCGAGCTGGGTCCAGCGACCGAGGCAGCGCCCATAAGCTTGGCCATCCATAGCACGACGGGCACCCGCTATGAACTGTCTGTGCCACCCGACGAGACGGTAGACGGGCTCCGCAAGCGACTGTCCCAGCGCCTCAAAGTGCCCAAGGAGCGCCTGGCGCTGCTCCACAAAGACACGTAGGTACCTCGCGCCGCCCCCGCCCTGCCGCCCCTTCGGGCCCGGGCCCCCGGGCGGGAACAAAGAGCGCGCCGCGCAGGGAAGGAAGGGGGCGGCCAGACGGGGGGGCGGGGGCGCGCTGCGCGCTCTCGGGCGCCCTCTGCTCGGCCTCGCCTGCCGGAGCCCCCTCCCCCACCTGGGGTCGCTGCACAAAGGCTGCTTCCAGGGGGCCTCCCCAGCTGGGTTCAGGTCCTCCCCTTGGGGAGACAGCAGGAATCCCAGGGCCACGCAGAGGTCCTGACTGCGGGGGTGGGGGCCGACGCATCCGCCCCCTCCTTTGCCTGTGTCCCCACTGTCTTCCGCATCTGCTCAGCTGCCCCCTCTGCGTTTGTCTGTCTCCCCCCACTCCGTGTCTCTGCCCCCCTTTGTTCTCGCCACAGAGCGCTTCCCCTGAGCTCCCCCTCCCACTTGGTATTTAAATCGCCTCCAGCCCGGGGAGCCCTCCCCCCCTCCGCCCGCGGGCCTCCTGGGACCGGCAGTGTCCATCCCCAGCGGAGGGGCCCCCGTGGGGGAGGGGCGAGAGGGGGAGGGTCTCCTTTGTCTGAGCTGCGGTGGTGGCAGCCTGCGCCTGAGAGGGAGGAGGGGAATCCGGCCTGGCGCAGTCTTTAAAGGCCCCTCCTCGGCTGAGGCCCCGAATCACCCACAAAGATGGCCTTGAGTTTGAGTTTGCGGAATTATAGGCCCGAGCTGGCCTTGCGGGGGGAGGGGAAAGATAATGACAGTGTGCCTTGTTGGGGTTCCAAACGGTTCCTATGCCCAGAGTTGTTGGGGTGAGAGGGACCCCACCAGAGTCGGGGGCCTCCAGGGCCGGAGGAGATATCCTTGAGAAGCGGCTTCTGGTTCTGACCTGGCAATCAGGAAGGGGTGGAGGTGGGAGCGACTCTCCCCCCCCCCCCCCCCTCCACACACACAAGCCCAGCCCTCCCCTGCGGCTTCCGCGTCCTGGTGTCGTCTCCTGAGTCTCACCCTCTTCCTTCCTTCCTCCCCCCTCCCACCCCCCAGCCGGCTCAGTTCGGGGAAGCTTCAGGAGTTCGGCGTGGGGGATGGCAGCAAGCTGACGCTGGTGCCCACGGTGGAGGCCGGCCTCATGGTAAATGACCACCCAGAGCTGAGCAGCCAGGGGGCACCCCCTCCCTAGTGCACTTACAGCCCCGGTCACACAGGGTTTGGGGCGCCCACCCCAGCCATCAGACCTGTTGTCAAGACCCACTCTGAGTCATGTGTCCCCTCCCTCTCCAGTCCCAGGCGTCTCGGCCAGAGCAGTCGGTGGTACAGGCCCTAGAGAGCTTGACTGAGACCCAGGTAAGATCCTCCGTCATGGGGGGCGGGGAACCCCCATGGGGGCACACAAGGCACTGGGAACACTTGGGGGCTATTGGTGCCCTTGGCAGATCTGTGGGGGAGGGGAGAGGACGCTCCGCCTTTGTGCCAGCTTGGCCTGGTCACCCTACTTCCTCCTCCTCCACCCCACAGCATCACCACCTGATCTTGAGAGCTTACTCTCCCACGGTGGCCACTGTAGTGGGGGAAGGGGCAGTGCTTTCACAAGCTGCCCGCCTTCTGAGTGACCTTGGCCCACGCATTCACACTGAATGGTCCCCAGCCCCACACGCCCCCGCCGCACCCACTGTGGCTTCCCCAAAGTGCCTCTTGAGTTTCTTCTTTTTTGATTTTTTTTGCCTGGGGGTGGGGTGTGGATCAGCCAGCCTGACATCTCCTTCCGCCTGCCTGCCTGCTGTGACCCCATTGTGGAGGGTGGGGAGCAACCCTTCCCCCTCCCCCTCTGCCCTTTGTTCTCAGCGCCAGGGGGAGGGGGTGGGAGTGTGGGTGTCTGGGCCTGGGCGACTGGGCACAGACAGGATGTTAGGAAATTATTTAGTAACCTGGAGGAGGTAGGGCGGGGGGTCGTTATGCTGGCCCCCACTCGGATTCCTAGCTTTGCTTCCACTTTTTATCCTCCTTCCTCCTTCCCTCATTTTTGGGAGGTGGTGTCCTCACGGGCAGGCAGCTGCTGACACAGGCTTCTGCCATCTAGTCCTCTGCCAGGGTGGGGGAGCAGGCGAGGGGGCGGGGAGGTTCCTGGGCCTCCCCAGCCAGGCCCTCCCTCGGGAAACCTGCTTGGCCGCTTCTCCCTGGGAGGAGGGTTCTTACTTGCCTCCATGCCTGGCCACTCGCCCCTCCCCAGCATGTAGGATCCTGCCCGAGGCAGCCACCATGGAGGGAGGAGGGGGCCTTTGGGAGCCAGGTGGTCTGCCCCCAGGTTTGAGGGAATTGGGGGTCCCAGGCAGTGGGTGCACGTGACTTCCTGGGACGAGTGTAGACAGGTCTTTGAGTACTAGAAGGAAAGGCTGCGGTTGAAGACCAACAGTCTGGGTTCACATCTGCCCCAGGGTGCCTGCGTGGGGCGGGGGGAGGGCTGGGCGGAGTGACTGGGCTCCGTAGGGTTGCCTTCCTGCCTGGCAGAGTCATGCCCAATGCCCGCAGGCCCTCCCCAGACAGGAAGTTGTAGGGTGGAGGACCCCAGCTGCTCCGGGGAAGCCACCCCTGGGCCCATCCTTCCAGAGGTGTCTCTGGGCTAGGGAGGGCTGGGGGCCGCACCCTGCTTGCCTCCTCCTCCTCCCCACAGCCCCCTTGCAGAGAAGGAGCTGGGTGGAGAGTCGGGAGGCGGTCTGTTCTGAGTCATCCCATCCTAAGTCACTTCTCAGAAACCTCCACACCCCCATCCTGGCCCCTGGGGAGAACAAGGCACTGGCTCGGCCCCAGTGGAGAGGGCCCCCGAAACTACTACCCACCCACCCACCCACCGACCGTGGGCCCGCAGCAGATCTGAGGCTTCATTTTCTTTGGAGCTGGGTTCTGGCCCCAGGGAACAGTGTCAGGGCCTACCCCCACTCCTCAGGAATAACACCGCCCCTCAGCGACCGTCCCGCCCAGGACAGATAAATATTTATCTTGAGAAAGCAAAGGTTAGGACGGAAGAATTTGTACAAGAATTCCACCCACTCACTGGCTGGGTGGCTTAGCTGGGAGGGGGCTAAGGGAGGCCCCCCTCCCCCCCAATGTTCAGGGGCACCAAGACTTTGGGTCCAGAGAGGGTGGGGCAGCGGTGTGAGGTGTGGGTTATTTGAGGGCAGGCACTGCCCCCTCTGGCCTTGGCGTTCCCTTTAAGAACCAAGCTGGCCAGAGTGGGCCAAGCCCCCATCTGATCCGCCTCTGTCCCTCCTCCTCCTCCCCCCTCCTCCACAGCCCCATGCGGCACCCGGGCCCGGCCCGGCTGGCGGAGGCGGCTTCCGGAAATATCGATTCCTTTTATTTAAGCGTCTGTGGCAGCGACAGGGACCCCAGAGCCCAGAGAGGGGCAGCGAGAGGCCCCAGGTCACACAGCGTGGGGGGGCCGGGCCGGGCCGGGCCGGGGACGCTGCAGCCCGAGCTCTGGGGCTGACAGGACTCGCTCCCTCTGCAGGTCAGTGACTTCCTGTCTGGCCGCTCACCGCTGACCCTGGCACTGCGCGTCGGAGACCACATGATGTTCGTCCAGCTGCAACTCGCAGCTCAGCACGCCCCTCTGCAACATCGGCACGTGTTGGCCGCAGCTGCCGCTGCAGCTGCTGCCGCCCGCGGAGACCCCAACACAACCACTCCCGTGTCCTCACCTTGCCGGCCTGTGTCCAGTGCTACTCGTGTCCCTCCAGTGCCCAGCAGCCCTGCCCCTGCCTCTCCCTCACCGGTCACAGCTGGTTCCTTCCGATCCCACTCGGCCTCCACCACCTGTCCCAAAGTAAGTCTGGGTGGGGGCTATCCTTGGAACCTTGAAGAAACTCCAGAGATTCTGGGAGAGAAATGTGCTCAAAGCCACAAATTGGTCCCAGATCCTAAGGGAGGGCATAGGCCATCCATCCCAGGACCCTGGATTCATGGGCCATCCCCAGAGCCTGGACTAATAATGCTAACCTTGCACTTGGAGCTCACAACCCTCTCTCCCACCAGCAGATGGACTGTTCCCCCCCTGCCAGCAGCAATGCCAGCACCACGTCCACTCCTGGGGTCAGCCCCACCCCCCGGCCCCGCAAACCTGGCGCTGTCATCGAGAGCTTCGTGAACCATGCCCCGGGGGTCTTCTCAGGGACTTTCTCTGGTAGGTGTCTTAGCCCCTGTGTGACCTTGTGGGTCAGCTCTGAGATGGTCACTCAAGTTTTACACATGCCTTCACCAGGTGCCCACAATTTTTCTGCACGCATGTGACCAAATCTACCTCTAGGAAGTCAACTGGGTACCTCAGGTGTTTCTAGATGCCAAGTCCACATAGGAGCTTTGGTAGCGTAGTGGTTACTAATTGGGCTGTGAACCACAAGGTCAGCAGTTCGAAACTACCAGCTGTTCCACGGGAGAAAGATGAGGCTTTCTGCTCCCGTAAAGATTTACAGCCTCGGAAACCCTGTACAGGGTCACTATGGGTCGGAACCGACTCCACGGCACACAGCCAAGCCCACATATGTGACCCTGTACTAATCCACCTCACCAGGAATCTGCACACATGTGGCCGGCCGTACATACTCATGACACTTGTCTGCTGGAGGTGCGTTTGCTCTCCTAGTTTTCAGATGTGATCACACGGTGTGTGTTTACCTGCTCCCCCTCCACTACAGGCACGCTGCACCCCAACTGTCAGGACAGCAGCGGACGACCCCGGCGCGACATTGGCACCATCTTGCAGATCCTCAATGACCTTCTAAGTGCTACGAGGCACTATCAGGGCATGCCTCCCTCACTGACCCAGCTGCGCTGCCATGCCCAGTGCACGCCCGCCAGTGCGCCAGCCCCCGACCTCGCCCCCAAGTCTACCTCCTGCGAGAAGCTGCCAGCTGCAGCCCCCGTCTCCGTCCTGCAGGGTCAGAGCCAGATCCGCATGTGTAAGCCGCCAAGTGCATGTCCACCGGGTGAGTCGACTGTGTTAAGGCCCCTGTGAGATCGTGCTGGGGGGGCGGGGGGGGGCACCAGCTGCCGTTTCTCCTGCCTAATTCTGGCCACAGAGAAGGGAGCATGTGTGCTAGGATACAGAGTGTCCTTGTCACCTCCCAAGGGGGTCCCTTCACACTTCCTTCTCGCCACCCCCACCCCTGAGGGACTGTCCAGATGGTGTTCAGGGACTCTGTGAATGGCCAAGTCAGGCTGGGCACGGTGAGGAGGGGCCTGAGCCACCAACCCCACTCGTGGGGATCTTGGGAAACACCAGGCAGCCCTGGTCTCCCTTGTGCTAAATTCTCCGTTGAACACTATCCACTTCCCCTCAGTGGGCTTCCTGGCAGACAGTAGGTGGGGGTCTCCACTACATAAAAGGTCTTGCCTGAGAGCTCAGAGCAGCTAGCTTGTTAGGGCCAGGCCCTGGGAGAGCAGCTCCGGGTTCACTCCGAGTTGGGTCAGTGAACAAGGATATGAAGAGGGGCCAGGAAGGCACACTGAGCTTGCTCAAGACATGGGGACCTTTGCCAGTACTTCTAGTTTAGCAAAACGAACACCACATCAGACTGGCCATTTTAGTACACGATTCAAGGTCAGTAATTGGGTGCTCACCAAAATGGTAGCAGTTAAATCAAGTCCATCTCTTCAGCACCTCTGGTAATCTCAAATCTATTTTGTTTGATGTATGTATTGGTCTATTCTGAATACTTCTTTAGAGTCAGGTTGTACGTTTCGTAAAAGAGCCAAGTATTTGGCTTCTAACTGGAAAGTTGGCAGTTCAAACCTACCCACAGACTGCTCAGGAGAAAAACCTGGTGATGTCCTCCCGTAAAGGTGACAGCCTAGGAAACCCTCTGGACAATTCTGTTGTTTCACATGGGGTCTCCTGAGTCCAGATGACTGGAATGACTCCGTGACGTACACAGGGACACAGACCGTGTGTATGTGTGTGTGTGTGTCTTACTCTTCTTCTGGACCTTGGAGGCCCTCGTGACTCATGGTTACACCGTGTTACAGGTGACCGGATACGGCAGACAGAGAACCGGGCCACACGCTGTAAGGTGGAACGTCTGCAGCTGTTGCTCCAGCAAAATCGGCTCCGCCGGAAGGCCCGGCGTGACGCCCGCGGCCCCTACCACTGGCCCCCCAGCCGCAAGGCTGGACGCAGCGATAGTAGCAGCAGCGGGGGAAGCAGCTCAACTGAGGCCACTGGCCTGGGCCTCGACTTTGAGGACTCCGTCTGGAAGCCGGAAGTGAACCCCGACATCAAGTCTGAGTTTGTGGTGGCTTAGGAAGTGGCGCCCACTCCCCTTGTGCCCTGTTGGCCAGGGACCCTGGGAACCGCCAGTGGCCACCACGCAGGGCCAGGGCCAGGGCCAGGGCCAGGGCCAGGGCCAGGGCAGCATAACAGGAGCCCCTCCTCCCCGCCGTCCACGCTCATGCTCACGGCCACCTCCTTTTCCTTTCGAATGATTCACACCATGGTTTCCCAGACGGCCGTGGACCCCGGTCTCCTCACACGTACCCCTCCTCTTCCTCCCTCCGGCTCTGGCTCCGGGTCCCTTCCCGCCCACCTCCCCTCCAGCTCCAGATATGTAGCATCCTTCCAGATGGCTGAGGAAGAACAGAGGAAGGCGCCCCCGCCCCTTCCGCTCCTCCCCCTCCGCCGCCTCCACGCCATTCAGGTTTAAAGTCACAAATTCTCGATGCCTCATGCACTTTACGGGAGGGGAGGGGCCAGAAGACCCCCGTCCCACCCCACCTCCCCCCCCTACCCCCCCAATCTTCCACTGCAAGCTTCAGGCCAGCCGGCTCACCCAGGTTTAAAAGGAGAAATTCTTGCGTGGACCCCAGCAGGCCACTGGGCCACATGGGTACTGACCTTCCCACCTCTGCTCTGTGATCTGTACCTCATCTGTTTTTCTTGTCCCTTCTGTTTGAGGAAAAAAGCAAAGTAAAGCTGTTTGAGGGCAGAGGCCCAGGGCCTGCCTTGGGATTTGGGAGGGACACTGGGTCCTCCTGCGCCGTGTCCGGTTCTGACGGCCCACTCACTGTGCTGGTAACTCCTTGGCCCCCACTCTCCTTTCTCTGACCTCCTTCCTGAGCTTGGGGTATTTATAGACTATTCAATTTCTGACTGAGCCAATAAGTGAGTTGGGGGGCATCTCTTGGAAACCCAGGAGAGCAAATGGCTGGGGGCTTGGGGAGACATCCCTCACCCTTTTTCCTAGACCTGTCCTAAGGAACTGGGAACTAGGGTAGGCATGGGAGGACTGTGTAGCCTGAAGGGGGTGCTTAGCTGTGAATCCCTGGGCAGGGGCAACACTGTGTAGCATTAACCCCCTTGGTGGGGGGGTCGCTGCTGGTCTAATTTGGACCCTCCCTACTCTACCCAGGATCTGGGGGGTCTGCAGGCCCCCGGGGCTTTGGGACAAACCCCTGGCTGGGGCCATTTCAAAATGGGTGGACTTTTTTTTTTTTTTTTTTTTTAGTTTTTTTCCAATTGACTTTTTGTTTGTTTTTACTGATAATGGAGATGTTGGGCCCTGCCCCACGCCCTACCTGTCCGCCTCCGTCCTGACCACACTTCGTTTGTGTCCTGCGCGCCTGTCCCCCCACCCCTGCTTGTTCCCCTCCCTGTAGGTAAAGCCCAGGTCCTCATCACCTCCCCCCTAGGATCATGTGTTTAAACTTAATGGTTTCAGATGTGAACATCATGTGTTATGTAGCTCTGTACATTTTTTTTTTGTGGGGGGGTGGGCAGGGAGGGGTTGGGGGGGTTGAGTTTTTGTTTTTTTTGTTTTGTTTTTTCACACAAAAAAGAAAAAAGGCGGGTTTGTTTTTCCAAGAACTGACTTGGATTTCTATTTAAACGTGTGTTTATGTTTTGTTTTCTAATAAAACGTCTTGTGCCTCCACGGGTCAGAGGGCAGAGACCTCAGGCAGGAGTTGCCCACCCCCCCTCTGCCCTCACCAGGACCCCCCCAAGAAAGCATTACCCACCCTTGGGGTTGGGCCGTTGGGGGTCTTGGCAGCTTGTGAGAGTTTCCAGTTTGAAAAAAATGAAATTGAGAAAGGATTAAAAAAAACCTACAAATACCTTGATTTCAAGTAATAAACAAAATGAAACAAGTGAAGGTTCTCCAGCTTTTCTGAGGGGCCAGGGTGGGGAGGGCATTTTGCCTATTTAGGGGCCTGAATCCTGGAGGTGCCTTAATTGCTCTGGAGTGGTGGCAGTGTCTTGCCTGTTATGGGAGCTGGAGTATGGGGGGGCATTGCCCATCTCTGGAGTAGGTGATGGGAAGTGAGTCCAAAGTCGCCCAGTGGAAGCCTGGGGTGCAGTCCAGAGTGCTTCCCACGCCCCCTCCTTAGTGGTGAGGGGAGGTGAGCAGGAAGCTGCCTGGGGGTGGGGAGGAGGGGCTGGCCACTTCCCGGCACTGGTACTGGGACCGGAAGGACCACAGGGTGTGGGGGCAGAGCCCTGCCCACTTGACTGCCCCGCCTCCCCCCCCAAGCCTCAGTACTTGGGTCTGTTAAATGGGCTGTGAAAATGAGGACAGCATGGGGCTCGGCGAGGGGAGCCATTGTTCCCCCAACCACAGCGTAGCAAAGCTTGCGGCTGGTCCTATTGTGTATAGCATGAGTTGGTACCAACTCCTGGCCACCTAACAACCAAGACCACAGGTAGTACAAGTTGCCTCATGCCTGTTCCTCCTGCAGTCTGTCCTGCTGTAGGGAATTCAGGTGTCTTGGGAGCCATGCATGGGTGGGTGACTCCCCCACAACTCCCAGTCCTGAAACAGTTCAAGCTAAAGCTGTGGGCTAGCAGTCAAGGCATGGCCTTGAGACCCAGCCTGGGTGACCTCTGGAGCCCTCTGGCCACTCACCTGGCCCCAGCTGGTCATGCATCAAACCTCCAGGTGTAGCCACTGTCAGGAACACCCCTCCCAAACAGTTGCTGGTTTTGCCTGGGAACTTCCCTATTCACTTGGCACTTCCCACCTCCACCCAGCTGAGCTTCACCCCACCCTTGACCTTCTCTGGGCCAAGGAGCCCTGCTGTCCTCAGTCTGGGGCTCCCTGGGGCCTTAACTACTTTGGAGCTGGACAGAGATGGGGGAATAGTCATAATCATGCTTCCTCCCATGACAGTCCCAACTTGAGAGAGGTAATTATACTCCCATTTTATAGATGAGGAAATTGAGGCCAGACCTAGAGGAGCAGAGGTGTTTGTGAAATGATGAAATGATGGTTTCCCCACCCGCCCCTGCTCAAGGCTCTTCTATTTGCTTCAGCTGAGGGACCCCAAGCAGCCTCTGCCTCTCCTGTCACCTTGTCACTCCCAAACCATCCTGTACCTACCTAGTACCTACAGCAGGGAGATGGAACCTGAGCCAAGATGACCCCTCCAGACGTCAGAGCCCTCTGTCAGTGGGCAACAATGTCCCCAGGAGTTCCGTCACAGGACAGAACCACAGATGGGAGAAGTCAGCTGCAGGCCCCAACACAGTGACCATGACCCCCCTGCCCCTCCCCCACGACTGCCCAGGGCTGGGTGGGGGCCCAGAAAGGATGTTGGCTGAGGCTGAATCATAGTTTCTGGACTCTAAACCCCCGAGGGGGGGGGACTTCCTCTGATGTCCCTTCTCACACTGCCTCCCACCCATCCTGGGGAGAGGTGTCTGTGGGACACAGCCCTATTCTGCAGTCCACCTACCCAGGGGGTTAGTGGGCTCAAAGGGTCTGAGGGGGTCAAGTCCTGCCTTGAGGTTGGCTGAGGGGGGCACCCCTTTTGGGGGGAGGTCTGAGAAAACCCGATGCTGTGTTGAGGTTCGGAGGGGCACAGTTGACACCACCCAGGGGTGGGGACTGTCTGGGCCATTTGTTCCTCTGCCCACTGCGCCTGCCCTCCATGTCCACGCCTGCCCAGGTAGGTGTCCCTGGGTATGGTACGCACCAGCCTGGCCTCTGCCTGGCCTAGGGGTTGCTGTGGTCGGAGAGGCCAAAGGAGGTCACGTGAGTTGGGAGGCAAACTGAGGTAAACTGAGGCGCCAAGGGCCGAAAACTACCAGGATTACAGGGGGCGGGGCTAGCTCTACACCGCCCCCTCCCTCTATTGAGGAAAAAGATGAATGGGAGGGGGCGGCCCCGGAACCCGCAGCAATAAAAAATCACGGTTCCCAGGGCAACACTCCGAGAAACGGGTCTGGCGTCACCTCGGCCCCCGACCGCGCGTCGGGAGGCCCAGACACCGCCCACCCGAGCGGAGAAGCCTCATTGGTGGCTGCGCAACTCGCTTATCTGCACCAATAGTAGCGTGGGGTTGCCCCCTGGGGGCGGGACTTCAGTCTGCTGGGCCGAGTGCGCAGACCCGAGCGCGGAGGCTCGCGGCCCCCCTCTTCTTTCAGATCCGCACATTTGGGGGCGGGAGACACAGCCCAGGGTCTGGTTGTTGCGGCGGGACTTGGACTGAAGAGGGGGAGTAGCTGGCCCCCCACACGTGGACTCCCGCACGGGCACGCTCACGTGCTTCCCTCCCTGCGCGATGCCCGGGCCTTTTCTGCTGCCTCGTGTGCCCGACCCCAAGCTGGCGGGGAGTCAGACCGGGGGATTCCACTGGAAACAGGGGATTGTCACAGGCGTTGGAGTATGCCAGTAGCTGGCAGGCTAGAAAGCATTTGGGGAACAATTGGGAAGAAAATAAGCACCCGAGTCTGTGACTTGAGGGATGACAGGGGAACCTGGGAGGAGAAGGTTGTGGGGAGCAGAGTCCAGAACACACTGAATCCAGGACGTCCAGGGGGCAAGTGGACCCTCCGAGGTAGCGAAGGTGGAGACAGGTGGACCGTGGGTGCAGAGGTAGGTGAAGTGTGGTTTCGATGGCTGGAAACCCAGGGCGTTACCTGAAGGTGGCTTCGGTTTCACAGCAAGGTAGGAAGCCATAATGCCGCTGGGAGGGACGCAGATTTTAGGAAGGGGAAAAAAATTCGAAATGGTTGACCAGGAGATGAGAGCTGAGAGGTTGCGTGGAGTGGGGGGTGGGTGGATTTGACAAGAATTCCACTCCCAAAAGGCCAGAGTGAACTGAGATGTCTGCTGGGGGCGGGGGTGCATGTTGGAAAAAAAACATGGTCCAACGCTTGGCCTGGAAGAGAGGGAAGGGTAGATTTGGGCAGAGGTGGGCTGTGTGCTCAGGTGTGGCTGCCTAGGCTTGAGGAAGTCACGCTGGGAGCCTGGGTGGACGGTGGTGAGCTCACAGGTGAGCAGTAGCTGTGGGCGGGCGGGAGGTCACT